ATTTCGTAATTTTTATGGTCGTTATAATGAGCTTTTAGCAAATATAATCATTGGGTCGTATTTTGACTGATTTGTTTCATACCAATTGTTAGGCCTTTGATTTTGTGCTGAATTTACTACGGTACGGTCCGTCTTCTTGATCAATATATTGGGCATACGGCGGATGTGACCGGTCAACAGGGGACGCTTACTCCTCCTAGGCACCTGATCCTATCCCTGGAATTTCCAGGGGTCCGTGTTTTATGCCCTCTTCACATATTTGTATTGTGATTTTCTGAGATCGATCACGGTTTGTTATCTTTACCTTTTACATTATAGCAATTTATTTGCTTATATAGCATCCAGACATTGCTCGCCGACTGGAAAACTCATTATATTGTTCAACTTAAGTAACATTTTGCACATTAAATGTTTATACTAAAATACATGATTCTGAGTATCAGTTTTTGATTTCTATAAACGATCTTCCCATGGATAGTAAAAATGTAGATTTCTGCGGAAGTCTTGTAAAATGCTACTCCTCCAATAGTTTTAGATCAATTTTAATAAATCAAAAATAGACTATAGATCTACATAATAACATACATAAGTTCTGCTTATCAATTTTTTATTTCAATTAATAGCAATGGCAGAGTTACTAAAAAAGTAAATTTCAGTGAAATTCTTTCAAAACACGATTTATTTCATTTCAATAAAATAAGGAAGACATGTACACCATAATACACATTAAAAATTCAATGACTTTTTCGCAGTGGTTAATAATAAAAATAGAATAATGTATGAAATTCTTTTAAAAAAAAGAAAATATACACAGATATATATGTCTGACTATATATCTTTCTTGCCTTCTGAAAAAAAAATTCTTTAGAATACCATATAACATACGTGTATTTAATCATGAAGAAAATATATTTATTTGATAGACTCGATTTAGTACAACAAAGACTTTCAATTATATGAAAATTAGTTCTCCTTTGAATGAAAATGATTTGGACATGTAAAATATAACTTTATTTCTGCTCAACCCTTTTCAAAGGAAGAATAATAGCTCATCAATTTATACAAGAGCCAGGAACCATATGAACAATTTAACTCCCCCTCCCCCAACATTACATAATGTACAAATAAAAGTTTTTAATATCCAAATCATGCTGTATTAAAACAGAGTAAACGGAATCCACTATTGAAAAATAGCGGCTGTGCTAGAATACATCGATAATGTACTCTTTATACAGAGTAATACTACAAGTGTAGGCGTAAGGAATCAGATTCGTAATTCTAAAGAATTGACTCGACTTGTTTGATTCGTAGCCAAGTTTACTCAGATAAACCTTTCAAAGTTGGCAAACATTCAAGGTGCCAAAAAGAAGCAACAAGAATTTGCAAAAATGCTTCAAATGGAACTGAGATCAGAGATGTACCTTAAGCAACCTTAAGCAATTTCTGGTACAGTAAATTTTCAGTTAAGTAAGTTTCAGTAAATTAGTTCAGTAAGTTTCAGTAAATTCAGTTCATTGTTTAATCATGGTATCCATTCAAGAAAACATGTATTAAGTAGGAAAATCGTTACGACAACCTGGTAACGGAGAAGTCATCAATTACTTAGCACTAAAAAAACAAATATAAACAATGACGAAGTTAGGCTGAATGATTTTTTTGAGTTTTACTATTTAGATATATAACAATATCGAATTTCATTTGGTCAATATAATCATTTAGCTAAGCTCAAAGAACAACATTCAACACACCCTTTGCGTTCCATCGATGATCTTCTCTGGTTATTAAATAGTGAAATTGACCATACCACGCCATGTAAACTTTGGAGTTGTCTCAATAAAAAGCAAATAGAAAGGTTTCATTCTATTTTCAATCAGGTATTTTTATCTTTATTTGAACGTGCTTTGTTATCTTTTTTTTCAAATGATTCATCCTAATACAATAATACAATGCCAAGAAGCTGTTTTGTCTATCTGTTTTCAGCTAAGTTTTTCAAATTGTAAAAGAGCAAACATAATTCTTTGAATTGTGAATAAAAAAAATGTGAAGAGTGCAGGAAGAATCCGCTAAATTTCAGAAAAATTCAGTTGAAGATGCAGGTACCATCTTAATCAAAAGAAATGTGGGGACAACGAACAGTATTCAAGCTTAAAGTCCATTAAAACTATACAAATCGGGAGCAGAGCAAACACGGACGTCCAAAAAATCAGAGGTGGGATTGGGCGCCAGGAGTGAGCATCTCCTGCCGACAGGTCACACCGGCCGTGTGCTCCTTGTCATGATCGGGGAAAAACGGAAAAATCCGTAGAAAATTCAGTGTGAAAATAATGGCCAAACGATTAGTATGATAATTGTCAGTTAGAATTTGACTTAATGATAGTTATATTTGCTGAGAAGGTCATTGTATCGACCATAAAACTTGCAAAATGGTGACTTCAAGCAAGACTATTTATGTCCTTTTTCATCATCTTGTTTGTCAATAGCTTGCCTCGCTTTAGAAATTGTTCATACGTAGAGCACGCTCATGTATTGTCATATTTGCGTAATGTAATGCGATATCCTGAAACTGAGGTTACACAGTGTGATACAGAGGTGAATAAAAACCAGCTTTCCCTTTGTTTTCAAAACTTTTGAAATGTATGGAATAATATATCGCCAAATAATATTTCTGAACTTATGCGACAGTTAAACCATTTATCCCTTAGAAAGGCAATTAAATTATTATGTACAATGTACTTATACACTGGGATTGATCATGTTTGCGGTTTACTGTTTCCCATTTTGATTAAGCGAAACTTATATAAATTGAAGATATCAAACCTTTTTGTACGTATGCCTATATCTTTTACGCCGCAAATAGCTTAGAAATAATGTTTATTGTTATAAATACACCAAATTTAAATAAGGATTCTTTGATTAATGCACGTGTTATCAATATTGTCTTCCTCTCTGCCAACTACACTTGACCTAGCCAAATCTTTAAAAGAGACCTAACATGCTATGTTAAGAACATGTAATGAAATTTACCCAAGACAAGACCATAATCAGGCACAAGTCAACATTTGTTTGTTTATTAATATAAACCATGCGACTTTATTTTTAGACTTAATTAAGTCAAATTTTCATCATTATCTATCAAACCTTTGTCTTTTGATGGAATTAAAAACTAGCATAAATTGCATTCCATCAAAAATACTTTTGTTCATCTAGTGAATGAGTCGTAATGCAATTTTATAGCATTCGATACGTCTCGGCATTGAATTAGAGGCAAAGTCATATATTTGACATTGGAACAGCTTTAAATGTAATTAAAAGTTAAGTTAACGAACAGTGGTCAAGCTTAAAATTCCAAATAAACATTACAACATGAGAACCAAGGAAACAGGGGACGTGGAAAACATCAGAGGTAGGATCGAGTGGCATGGACAAATAAGCGTATCCAGTGGATTGTCACACCGCCGTGAGTCTTCTGTCTCGAACAGGCAAAGGAGTTGAACTCTCGACCTACGGAATCTATCTCATAGCAGTACAGGAACAGCGCGCTAGACCACTCGGGCATCAAGCGAGTTAATAAAACTTTTGTTTGATGCCGACGGAATTCTCGCGGAGCTGTCCTACACTACACGGTCATTAAGAATGGAAGTGGGATACTGTTATTTGGACATACGTTTTATTAGAGGATCGTTACCGATACACATTGTAAGGAATTAATTTTATTTATAAAGCACATTTTACAACAACTCTTAAACTAACAAAACTGATTTAAGTGAAGAAATTTTAATATAGAAAGCATAAGGAAATTCACTTTTATAAGGATACCCATTTCCGTCTTATGAATGTTATCAACTTACCTAGATGGCCGAGCGGTCTAGCGCGCTGTTCCTGTACTGCTAGGAGACAGATTCCCTTGGTCGAGAATACCCGGGTTGGGGCGGAAGGCCACAATAAGAGATTCTTGTCATGTAAAAAGTTTTTAAATAAACTCTGTTTCATTACAATACAAAAACGGGTTTGCCAAAAAAGGGCACAATTAGTACCCTTGAGATTTTCAACAGAGAGTTGAAAGACCTGTGGTCTCTAATGTCAGTTAGGAAGTCCAGCATGTTTTTAATATCAGCTTCAGAATACTTATGTCTAGAATCAGAATGACTCAACAAAGTAATTTCACAAATTACATATGAAAACCTTTAAAAACTGTATACAGATTTAAATGTTGCATATTAATGTCTTAAGTTTCTTTTAGATAAATTTTATTTCAAATAATTCTTCTGAAAAATATATGAAAAAGACAAAATTTTCTTTTATTTTGGAAAACCGGACCGAAGAAATATCACATTCGTCATGGACTAGCGGACTGTTAGTCAGTCCTAGGTATAAATACCCGTTTTATGTTCTACTCATCTCTTACCCCGCTCCCCTTCCCCCTTCTGCAGTGTCATTTCACATGAAGACCTCCTCATATCTCGAACTCTCTCATGGTCATTTGATATAAGTATATTTGCAAATTAAAATGTATACTTAAACAAAATTTAAGTGCAAATACATGTCAAATATCATATATATCCACAGCAAGGGAATTTGATTCAACTCCTTACAAAAGCTCTTCTAAAAACATCCCCTAGGGTTTTCCACTTGTCTTTGGTGGGTGCTTGTACAACATTATTGTAAATTTGAAATTCAAACCCTTTTCCCTTAGCTCACATGTACAGTACATTTACCAACGTATCTATCTGAATTCACAAAATTATGATCTGAGTATATCATGGGAAGTTTTTATGATATCAAGTCTAAATGGAGGAGCGAATAAGAGTTGTAACAGAAACTATTGTACACTTGTTCAATATGGATGAAGATTAGTTTTCCCATCGTTTTATTGGCTAGTATCTTACAGAATGCACATTACTATAGCATTGATCTCGTCATCAGGGGGCGTTCGTTTGGGGGTGCGTCATTATAAATTTACACCACGGTACAAGATTAAAAGACATCACATTCGGAGAGCTGAAATCAGGGACTTCACAGCCTAAAACTACCAAATTTATCTCCAGGAATAGGACTCTGATTACTATGGAACTCAGTCCCTCCGCTGTTGTGTTTAAATTATTTTCGGCTTTATTTATTGTTTTAATAGCAGCAGAAATCCATGCACAACCTCAGAATTTTAACTCCGAAGTCCAACAGGTGAGTTACATATCTTCATCATTTATAATTATAAATGATATTTAAATATGAATATGATTGCCTTACCATATTTTACTTCAATGCGCTGATTTGTACTGGGTTGGTAGATAACTGGGGATAGTTACATTTTATTTCTAACATCTGTCAATCCTATCAAAGGTGTACATGGACTGGTGATTTTTAATCAAATATTTTTAACAAATGTGGATTGGACATCATTTTCCTCTCTCGCTGTCGTAATTAATCACTCTTTTGAGCCAATAAGTGACAGAGACCAGATTGTAGAGTTTCAAGGTCTTGATTAACTGCATAACCCTTGATTTAGATTTGTACGGCTCATTAATGAAATACAATTACACACGATCCTCTGGGATGAAAATCGTACTTTATTATCAATATTTGCCAATGACAGAAAACGCGATGAAATCTTTTTACGCTATTTTCATTCACTGAAAACATGCAGGAGATCAAATAAAATAATGTTATACCATTTAAAATCGCCTCTATTATCCAATATTAAATGGAATAATTTTCTTTGATCTATCGTACATAATCTGTAACAACTGCAGAGAATGAACTAATATTCAACATGGGATCAAACTGCACTTAAGACATTTACAAAGAGTTTTTAAATTAAGTTTTTAAATGAACTAATATTCAACATGGGATCAAACTGCACTTAAGATATTTACAAAGAGTTTTTAAATTGGGGTTTCAGTTTATTATCAATAACCTAAAATAATTTAGTTTTAGGTCGGAGAGTATTATCATAATTTCAATTTTGATTTTCATCTTGATTTCTCCCATTGCACATACAAACAATGAACTATATGTATAGGTATACTTGATTCAAATGTCCTGCGAATCTAATAAGATGTGGAATTTATTCATATATTTTGTTGTAAAATACAGAGTGATATGTGTGAAGGTCTTTTCAGTGTTTTTTTTTCCAGTATGTATAATATTAAGTAGATATTTTGTTACTTAGAGGGTAATTCATGATTACACGTCTCGCTGACTTTCTGCGGCGAATATTCTACAATTTGCAGATATGGTGCCAGTAAGAGTTCCAATACATGCACTGTGTTATACAATAATGTATATATTGGTATACTATGTCAAATACTATAGTGTTGAAAGATCTGTTACTTTGTCAAAGATGATGTTTGGAGATGTTTTGTTGCTATGTTAGAGATAATGTTAATAGATATTAGGTTATTTTTTAAGAAATGCTTTTTGTAGATATTATGTTATTTTGTTAGAAATGATGTTTGTAGATATTGTGTTATTTTGTTAGAAATAATGTTTGTAGATGTTGGGTTATTTTTTTCTTAGAAATGATGTTTGTAGATATTGTGTTATTTTGTTAGAAATGATGTTTGTAGATATTGTGCTATTTTGTTAGAAATAATGTTTGTAGATGTTGGGTTATTTTTTCTTAGAAATGATGTTTGTAGATATTGTGTTATTTTGTTAGAAATAATGTTTGTAGATGTTGGGTTACTTTTTGTTTGGAGATGTTTGGAGACATTATATCACCATTCCATGGGCAAAAAATGTACTGTCACGAAGTCGTACAATTTTGCTCTTTGTTCAGAATTTTTGGAATAAATACAACAATATGTTTTGGAATCACTTTAATTCGTGGGGTCAAACCTTTAATCTTTCTTGGGGTTATGGGGACGTAATTTTGTGGGTAACGTGTTTTGTATGGTAGATTCAATGAATCAATACGTTGATAAATGATGGCAAAGTGCATGTTTTGCGAAAATCACAAATATTTTGTCAGATCAGATTATAAAACAGGAGATGCACAATATGGCAATTTGTGAGAAAGATTCTGTGAAATTCTCATTAGATTTTATTCATTAGTACAAGAGAAGTTGCGGATAAAAGATGGGTACCCATCAATATTTAAGAAAGAATGGCAGTGTCCATGTTTTGCTATGGATAACCCTATATTTTCAGTAGATTGATGAATAAAAAAGAAGGTGCACTATGGCACTATGTAATAAATTTTTTTGAAAGTCTCATTATATTTTGTCCAGTGGTATAGGAGGAGTTGCGGTAATTTTTTTTGCATTGGAGAGATTTTTTTACTTGTGTTAAATATAGAAATGTTTAACTTTGGTACTTTGTAGAGATTTCCGATCTGTGTTTCTTGTACAGATTTTTGATTCCTTGCACTGGGACCATGGAGGGGCCGAACTGTGTCCATTCCTCCAAAAGATTTTGAATTTTTTGAAAAGAACATTTAGGGTTATAAAAAGTTATAAAATCTTTGTACAGGTATTATAGTTTTATTTTAAATTATAAAGATGTAAAGAGAACATTTTATTTGAGTATAGAAAATTTGGCATGTAACATATCTGATATACCCTATTTATCGTCTTCTATGTCAATATTTAATCGTCAGTAAAGTTTGATTTGAAAAAGAATGATATCTCCCAATATCTATAATCAGTCAACTCAGAGAGAATCTCTGATTAAAATAATAGCAATTATGCTCAAAAGTCTGTTGGTAAAATACAAATTGGGAGCAAAGCAAACAAGGACATAAAAAAAAAAAATCAGAGGTATGATCAGGTGCAATAGAGAAGTAAGCATCTCCTGTTGACCGGTCACACCCGCCGTGTGCTCCTTGTCATGACCGGGCAAACGGAAACAATTCAGTGTAAAAATAATGGCCTTACAGTGAGTATGAAAAACGTCCGTCAGCATTCGACTTAATGACAGATTGTATTTGGTCATTGTTTTGACAATAAAACTTGCAAAATGATGACTTTAGACGAGACTGTTGATATCCTTGTTTCATCAACTTGTGTTCATTAGCTTGCCTCATTTTAGAAATTGTTCGTACGCAGAGCATGCTCTTACAGGTGATAAGAGCATATTGCTACATGCGTAAGGGAAGTTGACGATATATTGATTGATTGATTGTGTGTTGTTTTACGTCCCGTTCGAGAATTTTTGACTCATATAGAGACGTCACCCTATACCGGTGAAGGGTTTCGACTTAGACCTTTACTCGGCATGTAGGGCCATTGAGCAGTGAGGGATTTTTATCGTGCCAACGCCTTCCGTGACACGGGGCCTAGGTTTTTAAAGTCTCATCCGAAAGACCTGCAACTTTCACTCCAAAGTGCGGAGCGCTTGGCGAAGGAACAGTTGCTACCTATTTTTTATTGACTTACGTCAATCGCGGCCGTGATTCGAACACACAATCTTCCGATCACGGAGCGAGCGCTCTACCGATTGAGCTATAAAAGCTGAAATCACGTTTATCATAAAGCTTGGTTGTTAGGTTACCATTAACGTCTTTTTCTTGCAAAAATATGTAAATATGAAATAGACGTGTCAGACTCTGTGGTGTCTATTATTTCAAGTTCATTGGGATATATTGAGTAGAAGTAGGAATGGAAGTTACTATTTTTAATTGATAATACGTCGTCTGTATACATCTAAATGTCGAGTTGAAGGCCACAGCAAGTGTCTACTTTTTCTCATTTATAATTTTTTGAATAAATTCTCCTTCATATGAATACAAGAATAGGTCTGCTTATAACGGGGCTCCATAAGTACTCATGGGAATTAAAGAATAAATTATGCCACAAAATCCCTATACATGACTTTGAATTTATCAAATAACAAATACTGACGCAATTATATACTGTTAGAAGGAGAGGAATGGCCCTTAGCAAAAGAATTTATTTACATCTTGTTTTCATAAAAGTCAAAAAAAAAAAAAAAAAAAAAAAAAAAAAAAAAAAAAATTGCGAAAGGTTTTAGTCATAAAATGGGTAAGAATATTTAACTCATTTGTCATACATAGCTGTAATTTTATTATTGGATTTTCATCGTGTTCTAAAATTTCCCAGAAAAGAGTTAAGTGCCTACAGTAACATCATGAAAATGCAATAAAAAAAAATGAAATGAACGAGCTTCCCAAGTGTTGCTGAATTCAGGATTGTTCTATTCTCTGTAAAAAATATAAGATATAAAGATACTTTGATTCCGATAAGAATTTGAAATGGGGTTTGTTATTTTTCCTCTTTTTTATAGCTTTCACTTTTTAAAAGTTAATGATCAAAGACACAAAATCTAAATTAATACAATCGAACTGGGATCACTACTAGCTTCCGAACAAATAATTCTCAAATAATTTACATATGTGCATTCATGCAGGTGCGTGTCTATTGTATCGGACTAAAACCAGTGAAAGTTAATGAAAGATCACAAGAGAATCATCGATTTTATTGATTTTAAATTTTCATAAGAATAGACGTATTAATAAATAGTATTTGAATAAAGCATTTGATCGACCACTACAACAAGATTTATTTTAATAAATCAATTTATAAGAGATCTTAAAACAAAGTCTATAGACGCCCGCACAATTTTGCCGCTCTTCTATGGTCAAAAATATATCCATTCAATATCTTTCAGAAGCAGATTAACAACACAAACAAGACAGAGAGAAACCGGGAAAACATATGCTGTTCGTTTTCCTTGGAGTATTTCCTTAATTACATTTTAGACTCCTTCCGACCTTTTCAACTGAAGAACGTGATTTAGCGCCGTTGTTTGATCTGTAATACTATTCTATTGTTAAAGTTGGGTTTGATGTAAATAGCATTGATAAATTCCGACGCTCTTATAAATGAACAAACACTGAATTTCGTGGTACGCATAGGATTTCTTAGCGACCATTCTCTTGCTAAATTATATCGGGTATATTTGATTAACTTTGCAATGGCCATGAAAAAAGTTATTTTGCAGCACGAATACTTCTCAAATAACAAAATCATTTTGTTTACTTAATAACCAAGCATTGACAAATGGTATAAAGCTAAACAGACAAATACAGGAATAAGATCAAACATTTGTGCCATAATCAAATCGTATTTTCAAGCACTGTATCTCGTGGATTACTTGCTAAAGACTGTAATTTTTTTATGATTAGGATATATTCTTCATGATTATTGAAATTATGATTCTAC